CCTGGGCAGAACGCCTTGCCCGGCGGGAGATCTCCCCTTTTTCATCCACCCGCCACATTTATATTTATTAATTTTAATTTTCTTTAATGTTATAGGTATTTAGATTATAATTTTTTAACAAATAATTGATCTGAATAATTCTCTAATAAAAATGTGGATAAAGATCTGGATAATTGGTCTGAAATAAATGAATTATTATTATTATTACTATTACAGTCAGGACTATTTGCACGTGTGTTACGCGTACATAAGTATATAGAAATACTTTTTATTACGATTTTTATTACGTGAGTGAGTTTCTCTATTCCGCCATCATGTAGAGTAAAAACTTATGTCTTAATCGAGATTATAACGATAAAAATAGTAATTTTTTTATTATATTGCCTCGTATCTACTTTTACTCAAGAATAAGTAAGCTTCTTATTTTTATTAAATGATAAAAGAGTGGGTTGATTGATACAAACTTGCAGGAAGGTTGACGTGGGAGGTGTAATGAAAATTATAAGGCTTTTTCAAGAAGTAGATCGTGTGTGAGATGGAAGTATTATGTTGTTTGTCTGTCATAGATGTTTTTGACAGGCTTTTTCACGTAGATAAGTGAAATTCAGCTTAATTATAATCGTAGTTATCTAAAGATACCTACATATACATGCTGCATATGCAAAAAATCTCCGCAGGTAGGTATATCAGGTATCTTTTTTAGCAAAAATTTTCTTATAGGTTTATAAAATTACTTGAATCCATACCATCAGTTGCTTAATCTCCTGAGTCTAAATTCAAGGTTTTGTTATAAAACAAAAAGAACTTGAACCTGCACATAGTTATCTAATAGGAAGTTCATAGTGTAGGCAGACCGACTAACACCAACATTAGATTTTTTTTTTGTAGAAAAATAAAAACAGATGCTGTTGTATTTCATGCTGGCTGAAATTATACATTTTTTTAGAATAAATTGAGTTTTTCAAAAGTTTGCTTAGGTATTATTTAAACCTCTCGATAGAGAGTAATAATGTTCTGTGATAAACACTCTCCGTTTTATAATAAAACGTGGTTTATTGGGTTTTAACTATGGTTTAAAAAGAGTCCTGCTAACTAAAACAGTATCCAACTTCAAAAAAGAATGCTACACCTGCTCTGTCACTTATGAGAACGTAGATGTAATAACTTTCTGTGACAGCTAGTAATTAAAATAAGTCTTCCTTGTTCTGCTGATGTTCCATGGGTCGAAATAAAATGTTGTGTTTTTTTTACTCCCTTACTTTTTTTTACGCATAGGTTCGAATGCATGGGATGTTGCCAACAAAGGGATGGAGACTGGCCGAGCGTGAAGTTCTCCGATGGTGGGAGGGAGAGAGAGGAATTAAGTTATGCAATTCCTGAGCACACTATCCGAAATGTATATGATATAAGGTGGCTACTTTTAACTTGTGCCCGAGGCTAGTAACATTTTCTTTGAACAGATTAGTCTCCAGAGCCTTTTGGCACGCTTTTACATTTAGTTTAAAGCTGCTAAGTGGCATTTTACAGCACCAGCCCACATATGGCTCACACTCCTTGCACGATCAAACTTGCGCTTTATATAGAATAATTAGCTGACCCAGCGTGAAATACCGCCGCACCTTTGCAAGGACACCTAACTTCCTTGTTATTTTAGACCTGAACTCAATGAACCATCCAAAGTTTACTTTCAGGAAATCTTGACCCTCAACAACTGAAGGCGGATGATACTTTCCGATTATTTCGTAGTTGATCATCGTCATTGTAATGCTGGGTTTACACGCCAAGTTCGGTCAAGATCTGGTCTAGTGTCGGTTTTTGGACACAGATCAAAGGGCGCTTGCGGCAAGCGCTTGCGACGCATTTACACGTTGGTGCGCGTTTAGTAGCCATTGTGATTTCGCGACGAGCGCATGTTTAGTTTTTTGTTTAAAATGAGTGGTTGATCGAACGAAGAGAGTTTATCGTTTCTGGAATATTACCAGAGCGAATCGTCTATCTGGAACCCCAAAGACGTTAATCATAAAGATAAAAAGAATGTTGCAGATGCTTCGAGTCGTCTTGCCGACTTATAACGGGAAAGCCAGTAAAATAATTAAAAGCCAAAAAAGAAATATTGATGACAAATTTTCACAAGCATTTGAAAAAAAAAAACAGAATTCGTCGAGTTTTCCTTGTTTTTGTATTACTTTGCTTGTATTTCAAGTAAAAATATGTTAAGCCAAACGCAATAGCCGACACAAGCTCGGTGTCCGCCATGCTTGGGTGTACGTAGCACACTGACGCATTCACAAGCATGAAAACGACTTCCAAATGCCAAACGAGATTTGTGGACGCTTGGGGCTTCAAGACGTTTGCCAAGGCTTGGCAAGCATGGGAAGGCACCATAATATACAGAACTTTAGTGGTGGGGATATTTGATCGTCTAGTTACTGCAGATAAGAGGTAAGGACATTCGACCGTGGACAGCCGTGGCGTGCGGACGTATTCAGTGTGTTTGAACTAAAGGAGTGATAAAGTGTACCTATACCTAGTGTCAGTGTTTCGAGCATTTTACAAGTGGCGACGAGAATAAACGTAATTTGTAAATTCATAATATCTTGTTAACAGGGAAATATATTTTATGAAAATGTGAAAATAATAAAATTATATGTAAAAATTTTTGTTAGAACATACACTGCAAAATCTAATGCAAAAATACAAGACTATTTTGAAATAGAAAACCTTAGAGTATTGTATACGTTGATATTTAATTATTATAAACCGGAACCTACTAGTCAGTTTATTTACACTATTTCATGATACATTCATTTGATACTGTACTACACCAGTTAATTAGCGTAATAAATTTAGCTTATTATTGCTTTTAATTTAAACTACGGATTATAAAAATTGTTATTCAGAATACAGTAATGAAAAAGTATAAAATAAGACACTTAATTATTCGTTTAATATACCTAATTAAAAAATCTATAGCCTGAATTCAGTATGTATACTCATGCAGGAAGTGAAGTAATTACCGAGACCGTACCAAGTTGAAGGGTCAATATGAAAAACCGTACTAAGTTGAAGGGTCAATATGAGAGACCGTACTAAGTTGAAGGTTCAATATGAGAGACCGTATTAACTTGTAGGGTCAATATGAGAGACTGTACTAAGTTGAATGGTTAATATGAGAGACCGTACTAAGTTGGAGGGTCAATATGACAGACTGTACTAAGTTGAACGGTCAAAATGAGAGACTGTACTAAGTTGATAAGTCAATATGCGGAAAATAATAATGTTTTGACCCTTTGCTTCTCCGATACTTAGTGTAGTTGTTTATATATTGTAAATTGTGACGCGATTGTGACAGATCATCCAAAATGGCCCAGATAGCATTAGCGTTTCCGGGTCTTAACAATTTTGAGTGTAAAGGCGATCCGGTTTCAGTTGGGGTGAGATGGAAAAAGTGGAAAAGAACCCTAGAAACATATTTCCTAGCCGCCAATATTGAATTTAGTCGAAAAAAGCGACTTGCTCTGCAAGAAGTGTACTACAACTTACCGGGGGCTCGCATTGATGAAACCGATAACGTAGATGTATACAAAGTTGCTTAAAGAAATTAAGCGAATAATTTCCCCAAAGTTAAGTAGATATTACGAAAGGTACATTTTTAGACTGACAAAACAGCAGGAAAGGGAAAGATTTGAAAAAAAAAATTAGTAAGGTCGAGAAACCAAGCCAACAAGTGCAAATTTACCGCTGAAGATGAAAATCTGATCGACTAAATAGTCGATAAAGGTCGAAGTGCGGAATTAAGAAAATAAATATTGGCCGGAGGAGATAGTATCACCCTTCAACAAGAAATTACTATTGCTATTACACTAAAAACGGTGAATGGACAACTAGATACATTTGATCCTGGCCCAAGTAGAGTTTACGATACAAACAAATCTGAAATTAACAGACAAGATAACAAGAAATTACCATCGACTCGGAAATCGTTCAAGAATTGCTTCAGGTGCGGTAGCAGCAAACACTTATCATTCGATAATGGTTGCGCAGCAAGGGACAAAAAATGTTTGAAATGTGGAATCATTGGGCATTATAATAAATATTGCAGACAGAGACAGATAACAGAAATTGAAAACGAACTCAAGGAATGATGATATTTTTAAGACAAAGAGATACAAATTTAACAAATAAACGAAGAAAAATGCTGACGAAGTGGACTACGTTTTCCAATTAGATGACGCTGCAGTTATCAACGGCAAAGTTGGCAGGGTAATCATAGATATGCTGATTGGTTCGGGTAATAAATACGATATTATTACAAACAAGACAGGGGAACATCTGAAATGCCGAAAAGTGAGTGTCACGAATCAAATTAAGAATCCTGGGAAGATATTGTTATCTGCTACGGTAGTCAAAAACCTTTATATGTACTCGATGCTTTTATAATGGCCGCATTATCCAAAAAACAACTTTCTATGTGATTCCGAATGGGACACGTAACCTTCTGGGAAAGACAAGCGCAATAAAAATCGACGCTCTTAGAATTGGTGTTCCTGCCAACAACATCAGTACCTTCCCCAAGTTCAAAGGCATTACTATCCCGATTCTCACCAATACGGGAGTGAAGCCGGTAATTCAATCGTAAAGAAGAATACCAAATCCTTTGGAACAACAGGTGAACAAGAAGCTAGCCGAACTTAAAGAAGCTGATATAATTGAACAGGTCAATAGACCATCACCGTGGCTATCTCCAATGGTGCCAGTACTAAAAAAAAACGGTGATATTCAGATATGCATCGACATGAGGAGAACAAACGAGGCCATCATAAGGGAAAATTACCCACTCCCGACAATGGATAAACTCGCTCAATTTCATGCAAGCTAAATATTTTTACCGACTCGATATAAAGAATGCTTTCCATCAATTGGTGGAGATAGAAAACCTTAAATACCAGTTAAGATAGAAAACCCTAAATACTAGTAAAGTGTTTCGATACAAGGGACTAATGTTTGGAGTGTCATGTGCACCTGAAATGTTTCAAAAATTCGTAGAAAAGTTGTTACTAGGTTGTGAGGGCACTGAAAATTTTATAGACGATATTATCAGCCATGGATCTGACGAGCTTGAACACGACATACAACTCGACAAAGGGTACTTACTACGGATGTTGAAGGAAAATAATGTTCTCCTCAATCATACTAAATGCATATACAAGACAAACAGGATTAAATTTTTAGGACACCAATTAACGGGAAAAGGAGTACAGCCTCCAGAGAAATACATGAAAGCAATCCAGACTTTAAAAAAACCTACAAATATCGAAGAAATACCGAGATTTCTTGGGCTAGCCATTTAACCAAACAACCAATTAAATTGTTGGAAAGTGGATACCCAATTTGGCGTCGCTTACAGAACCCCTTCGGAAGCTGATACGCCTTAAATTGGGCAAGTCCGCTAACATTCAAAACTATTAGACCGGCATCCAGGGCAAGGCCTTAAGAGACAACTCTCGAACATACAAACGGTAGATTATTACAACCCAGCGGATAAAATGCAAGAAACAGCTGACGCGTGTCTAGTTGGACTAGGGCCAGTACTTATTAAAATTGATAGTAACGGTCCCCGCGTGATAGCGTTTAGTAATAAGAGCCTTATTGATTGTGAGAAAAGATACTGTCAGACGGAGAAAGAAGCCTTGGTGCTGGTGTGGGCCGTAGAATTCTATACTATTGGGCAAATAAGTCGAGCAAATTTTTTATCACAAGTCCCTAGAAGCTATTTTTGGGATCAGATCTAAGCCTTGTACGCACATAGAGCGCTGGGTTCTGCGGCTGCAGGCTTACAAGTACAAGGTTATTTACCGCCCAGACAAAGAAAATATCGCTGACCCTATCTCCCTACTTTGTGAATCGATTCATCGAGTACTATTCGATAATGAAAATTATATAAATGCAGTGGTAGAATACAGTAAGCCAATAGCAGTACCACTAAAAGGATTTGATATAGCTAGTGCAATAGACAAGGAAATTGTAGCACTAAAATAATGGCGTTTTTGACAACAAATGGAATGAATATGTAAATGCTTATAAGGTTTTCCATTCAGAGATTTGTTTCCATGGAAACTTAGCACTAAGAGGAAGCAAAATTATTATCCCTAAACAGCTACGTGACCGAGAACTCGAGGCAGCCCATCAAGGACACCCTGACATTGTTGCCATGAAGACTCGTATCAAAACCAAAGTTTGGTGGCCGAAAATTGATAGAGATGCTGAAAATCGAGTCAAAGCTTGCAAAAGGGTGCACACTTGTCCAACAAAGAGAGGAGAACTTCCAGTTAAGCCTTGGGTTGACGTGGTAATATACTTTTTAGGACCCCTATCATTAAATAATTATTTACTTGTCCTAGTCGATTACTAGTCGCTACAAGGAGATAAAAATAATGGTAAAAAGTTGGTACCACAACCTTACCGCTAAAGAAACGATTAAGAAACTTAAAGAACTATTTTCCCGACTATGAAAACCTTGCTAGCGAGACCTTCAAAGAATGTTGTATTTTACAACACAATTCCTTAATGACCACAGATGAACGGCGAAGTCGAGCGCCAAAACAGAGATGTGCTTAAGCGGCTTGAAATTGGTCAGTTAGAAAAATAATGGAAAGATGACCTTTTAGAATACCTTATTATGTACAATAGCACCCCTCATGCGACAAAAACTCCCGCCGAACTTTTCTTTCGGAGACAGTTTCGAGATAAAATACCTATGGCAGCAGATATAGAACATAAAATTATAGATTGGTATGTAAGAGCCAGCGATAAATAAATAAAAGAAAAGAGAAATGAAAATGGGGGCAAAAAAAGGAAAGCAGTAGATAGCTATTTTGAAATCGGAGAAAAAGTACACGTAAAAACATGATTAAAGAAAATTACTTAACTCCTAATTTTAATCCGGAGACTCATACAGTAACGGATATAAACGGTGGAGATATTAAGTAAGGAATGACACAACGGTAAAAGAATATCGCAGAAATGTTGTTCACCTTAAAAGAGTAGAAAACGGTGAGTGGAAAATTGTCGATCAGAGTGCAGAAACAAACGTCCAGAAGGCAGCAAACACGAAGACTGATGTATATTATTGCACTAATCATCAATTTAATTAATATATGAATCTGATTAAAAGTCTTTTCAAGGTAATAATATTTATACAGTTGTTTTATTTTAACAAGTAAGGGATGTAGTATAGAGCATTTTAATAGTGAGGATATTCGATCGTCTAGTTACAGAAGATCAGAGGAGAGGGCATTCGACCGTCGACAGCCGTGGCGTGCGAACGTATTTGGTGTGCTTTGAACTAACGGATTAATAAAGTGTACCTATACCTAGTGTTTTAACAGTCATCATCATCATCATAATAACCATTCTGTATTGTATTTAAACTTTCTTGAATAGTTCCAAAGTGAATTAACCAACTCGCACAACAATATTATCCATAACTGAAACATTGGCACAACTTTATCTATACAAATAAATAAAATTAAATTGCCTGTTCGTAATATCGAAATAACAGGTTTTTACTAAATGTATATGAAAGTAGGTATGTACGGTACTTATAACAAAAACAACAAATTTTTTGTCTGTCTGTTTGTTCCGATTTTGACGGGAGTTTCACTAACAGATAGCTTTTTAGCCTTTTATTTAAAGAAAATAAATTAGGGTACCGCGGAAAAATAATTAAAAAAAAGTGACAATTACTTTCCATGAAACAATAAAAAAATCTCTATTTCTCAATCGTTTTCATTTGAGCTTCTTGTTTGAAATTTTCTATATAATTATGTTTCATGGCAGATCATGTGACATACAAGAAAAAGCTTTTAGCGTAAACAAAAGTGGATGTCACGGCCAAATGTATATGTCAAAAAATAAAATAAAAATGATTGAACTATAATTAATGAACTGCAGTGCGATTGTTTTACTTTAATGGGAATCTTAGTTAGAAGTTTGGATTATTTGGAAATTAACACAGTCCACTTGATGGTAAGTGGATCCCGAGGCCAATAGTTACCTACATTTATCATCAGTTAAGTAGTAAAACGCAGATGCCTTGTTAATCCTGAGGACTAAGATGGAATGTCTGGTTATAAGTCAGCTTGTACACCAATTAAGTCATATTTGCACCGTCGGTAGGCGAGTTGCTAATAATAAAAAAAAATAACGTTTATTAGCAACCAAATTTTTCTAGATAGAAAGGAACTCTGTCTCCTGAACTAGGTTATCACCTGTATCTCAGGAAACAGTGCCTTCCCTAATTCTTAGTGCTAAGTCCATATTCGGTAAGTACATAAGATCATTCATTATTCCTTAATTAATATTATTCTATGGCGGTTACTGCTAGGTAATGTTTAATGTGGTGTGTGTGTGTGTGTGTGTGTGTGTGAGTACGTGCTTGCGTGCATGCATGTGTGCGTGCGGGTTGGCGGACGTGCGTGCGTGTGTGCGTGAGTGCGCGCGTGTAAGCGTGCGCGCGCGCGCGCGCGTGTGTGTGTGTGAGTGTGTGTATGTGTGAGTGTGTGTCTATGTTTGTCTATGTGTCTGTGCGTGTTTTAATAGTGCTTTTTTAATAGTATTATTTATTATTACCACACAGCCTACTGTTGACCAATCCTTCCACAATTTTTGACATGGTAGACAGCATAAAAATCGGCCTATAGTTAGAGACATCTTGTTTGACCTCCATTTTAAAAATTGGAAACGAAAAGACTCATATGCCAATAGAAATGTAAGTGCTGTCTTAGTCTTTACCTTAATGTATGGCAGTGAAAGTTGAAATTGACAAAATAAGTATGACAGTAAATTTAATATTGTAGGAATGCGAGCCAATAAGAAATATGGGCTAAATCTGAATAAAAAGTTGAAATTCTGCAAGAAATTATGTGATGAGATATGTGTGGTTTGCAAAAACTTGCGACCAGGATTACGGAAGGAATGCTTGGTAATTTGGTCATGTAGAAAGAATGAATGAGAAAAGTGTGAAAAAGTAAATTTATGTTGTAAGTGAGTAGCATTGTTGGCAAAGGACGCCCTAGGCAGAAGTTTATCGCCCAAACTAGCAACATATTGATGGATAAAATTTTGAAGATGGGTCAGATTAAGAGTACTCTTAGCCGATAAGCATATATGCATAGATAACCGAATGTGAAAGAAGCGAATAGGTGTGTCAGGATCGTGCCATAGGAAGCACGAACTTCGTGGTCTTTACCTTGTAATGTTGCTATATGTAAAATCTATTTAAAAACAAGCATTTATGGGTGTTGCTAAGGCCTACATCCATGTCCATCAACAGACCGGCTCCAGGGTACCATATTATTGCATTGTCCTTGAAGATACATAAGTATGCCAGATTCTAGCTCAATTGGATGTCGGACACTACAAACATTTATTAACAGAAACAGAAACTTTTTTATTCAATATAGATTAAAAATAATACTTATTGAAAGTCACTCTTTTGTTTAGAAAAAAAAAACCTCTGTCCTGGGAAGAACCAGCAAGAAACCCAGCGGGACTTTTTTTAAAAAAATATCAGCTTATAATCATGTATGTTACACACATTAACAACACAACAAATTAGAAATAGCTTGGTAGCGATCACCTCACTTCCAGGGGTTATTATCATCCATAAATTCCTTAATATTATAATAACCCTTTTTATACAAACTTAGTTTAATAAAGTTTTTGAACTTTGAGCCGGTCAAATTTTGCATATTTTCTGGAATTTTGTTGTAAAAGCGTATACAACGCCACAAGAATAAATTAGTGACTCGGTGGAGTCGAGTAACTGGTACTACTAGCTTGTGTCTGTTCCTAGTATTTACAGAATGAATATAACTTATTTTTGTAAAACTACTTTCATTTTTGTGTACGTACATTACATTTTCATAAATGTATTGAGAGGCCAAAGTTAATATATTAATTTCCTTAAATTTTTGTTTTTTTTGTTTTTTAATTTATTAAATTTTTGTCGCAGCGACTCTTTAGGCTTTAAATCATAAATTGCTCTTATGGCCCTCTTATGTAAAACAAATATAATTTCAAGGTCAGCTGCGTGTCCCCATAGCAAAATACCATACGACATTATGCTATGGAAATAGATAAAGTAAACTAGTCTAGCTGTTTCAACACTGGTTAGACTTCTAATCTTTTTTACAGCATATGCTGCAAAACTAAGTCTACTTACTAGTTTTGATATATGGGAGCTCCATTGAAGCTTCGCGTCTAGTATGATTCCAAGAAAAATGGTGGTATCTACAAGACTCATTTTCTCCCCATTTAAAATTACATTAGTATTTAATTGTTTGACATT